AAAAGAGTTGCACGCCGTGGACACGCTAATGGTGCTTCGAAAAGTGTACACATGCGTCACCGGGAAGTAGTTGGTGGTCCGATACGCGATGTGGGACGCGGACGACGCTCAGTACAACGCGGTGCAACGCGTACTGGATGTTGATAGCAATCTGAATATTATAATGTGTTTCTACCACGTTGTCGCCAAGGTCTACGAGAAGACAAAGGGGCTACAACCTGCACTCTACGCTGGTGTAGCAAGAGGCCTCAATGGTTTACACTATGCAACAACCGAAGCTGAGTTCGTCATCACCCCAGCGCGCGTGCTGGACAATTGGTCCTTACATCCAGGGCTTGCTTCCTTCAAAGCGTACTTCACTAGTGTTTGGCTTTCACGCCGTTTCACGCCGTTTCTGCCGATGGCAGATATTTCACACACCACCCGCGTTTGCGACGACGAACAATCCTGTCGAGAGCTTCAACGGTGCTATCAAGCGCGATTACACACTGCGCTCTCGGATGTAAATGGGCGCGTTACTGCGTAAATGAAAGTACATAATCCAAAAAGTTTGCCGTAGAACCGACATCAACCGTCACGCTGGTCCGCCGTGCAAGCGAGATGAGGAGAGCAGGGTTGCTCTTCGAAGACACTAAAGAACACGAAACTATTACCTTCTTGTTTAATGAAGCTCCTGCAGATGACGTCGGGGCTGCGAGCGCTGATGTGGTTAATGTGGTGTCGCGGCGAGTTGCCCGTATCTACGATCCTGAGACGAAACGCTCCCGCGAAGATCTGGCGGTAACCGCTCAGCTCGGTCAGCACACAGCGTGAATGGAAGTTGCTGGAATACCAGCGACTGATTGGCCAGTGAACACTCGGCAGTGATCGTGTCCTTGTGTGTATTGGGCGATGTATGTAGCGTGTGTGCACACATTGCTCGCAATGCACGTCCGAGGTGTGCATGTCATGGATTCTCGAAAGAAGTTGGGGTACCGCGGCTCAAATCGACGGAAGGCCGGATACCAACAGGCTGGATGTCCAATCAGCGCTAGTGGTAGAGTAGATATTGCGTTAAAGGTCAATATTAACAATTGACTGAATGATGCGTGCTTACCATTAAATTCGTACTCTACATGTATAGTGCTGTCTTCACCTAGACGACCTCATGCTGGGCTCGAATGTGGCGAGCTAAACGCGCTGGGCCACGGTGAGCAACGATTGATCTTCGGGCGTCCACCTGACGGAGGGCGATGACCGCACAACGTACGCGGGGGGTGCTAGGTGCGTCTCTGTCGGCAGCGGTGACAGCAGCGTCATCATCTACGTGGGCGGCGGCAGCGCCTCTGTGGGCGGCAGCAGCGTATCCGGCGGCAACAGCATCAGCATCTCGGGGGCAGCGGCAGCAGCGTCTCTGTGGTCGGTGGAAGCGTCTCTGTGGGCGGCAACGGTGGTGGGACACTCTGGTCGGCAGTGGCGGCGACCTGCGTCTCATGTGTAGAGGCGGTGAGAGTTCTGCAGGGCAGCTTCTCTGTGGGCGGCGACCAAGGGGGCATTTTTGAGTTTGGGCTGCACAGGGTATTGTGTGGATAGTGTGACAGCTGCCAAACGATCACTTTTGAAGGGTATTAATGGTGGTGCAAACTACAACGTGACAACAGTATTGTTGTACGTGCGGCCGCGATGGCGTGGCCTTGCTCTTGCCTGGGTGCTGAGTGATCATGGTGAGTGGTGCATGTCCTTTTGCTCAGTGTTAATAGGATTTTCCCCGTCAAAATGACTGGCTTAAACGACTCACTTATCCTGTACTTCTCCGGTCCGTTAAAGAATTAACCGTTCGCTGGCGTGACTGTAACTTTAAATGTAAACATCGTGCCGCAACGTGGAAACCTGCATCCGATAGCCTACATTGTGATTGTTGTACTCGTTTTTATTTATACTTTTAACTCTACAAATGAACTAAATATCATGGCTGCAAAGCAGGCGCTGTGGAGGGCCACGAGGTTTTTTTCGCAGAACGATTGTCAGTACGCGTATCGAGAGTTAATTGCTACCAGCATAAACCGGAGATTGCGGCTGCTCAGATTACGGTAAAAGTATCACGAATGATCGCCTTAACTAATAGAAATTAGCCTGGAAAAACACGAGGTTTTATTGTTGTTAAGCTGATATACGGTAAATGATAGTTTGAAACGTACGTTTTCGGCCAATAATGTAAGACCAGTACTTTAAAGCCAGAAATTAAACCAAGTTCAACTAAGTATTAGATATGCTCAAGAGAACCACCAAGAAGATGGTGAATGCCACTTTCAACCACATCTGCATCGCAAGTTAACGATAACGGCGTCGTGTTTGGGTTCAGCTCTCGTCGCTTTCGGTAATGCTAAAACTTGTTGTCGTTCTTGCCGTGGTGCTTGATCACTGTTTCCATAACGCTTTGTAACGTCATAAAACAGTGATCAAGCGTCGTGGACGTAGTTGCCTTGAATGCACGGTCAACAGTGGCTATTGGCTGGTCGATGGTGTAGGTTGCCTCTTGATATTGGAGGGACTGGATTGAATTGAAGAAACCTAAGTCGAGCACGCTCATATCTGGGGAGCGGGGAGGTTGACATCTTACTTTTAGCGTCCAACCATATTGAACGCCAGCGGCAGCTACAACAGGGTCATACTCGACGACGTGGGGACCAGCATTGTCCTGTTGCACAAATATAGCACGACGTTTACCGCCTAATAAAAAAATATAAAGTATTAGTAACAACAGTATTAGTTACATTAATATATCCAAAAAGTACTACTATCAAACCTGGCCAAACAGCTCTGACAGCTGGGAAGACACGGTCTATGAGCATCTTCGTATAGACTTCCCGTGAGACAGCAATACATTTCGTAATGACTGTCCCTTTGGGGCGATTCACCGAAGTAC